ATTTCGTCATGAGTGTGAGCTGAATAGAGGTCGCAAACGCAATTATCCTGTTAATCATACCCGTCCGAAAGCGCTTCTGGCAGTCAAACCGTGAGTAATTGGTAGTATACGCGCTGTGTAGCGAGCTAGCTAAGATATTGTGTAACTGCTGAAATCACCGCTCAGAAAAGTATTGCTTGAAATTTGCAGTGGATCAGAAAACGATTATTAAAAAGATATATTATTTAATAATACATGTAAAGTGGTGCACCGCGTTTGCGACAGGCTGGACCATATAGAGTCTGCCAACGGTGAAAATTTATGCAGGAACGCAGATGGGACAAGTGTACTGTTTTATTATTACGTTAATTCAGTAGAAATCGCAAATCCATCTTTGACGATTCCGCTGTGACTCCAGCAGTTTCTAATTGTCTTCGTCGAAACACCAGACCAGCCTTCTGAGCACCACTTCATGGCTGTGTAAATATCGACTGGTTTATAGTTTTCGCCCCGATAGAACATGTCCAGCTCCGCTTCTTGCTTTGTTGTCCGGTAATAATCCTTGAGGCTCTTGATGGTCCCTTGATCCATCGGTTGCAAGGCAGCAGTTGTATTTGGTGGAAGCTTGTGGGTGACCACGTTAGAAAGCTCAACAGGTTCGTCATTATGAGAGGACACATTGTCTACACGTAGCAAGATATGCCTTTGTTGCTCGCGCATGCTCTCATTGAGCTGCTCCAGCCACTCACAATATTTAGTGGTATTCATCCAAGCTTTGTAGTGTTTGTGTAGATAGAACCTATTTCAGCAAATACATCTCGACCCTTGAGCGGCTGTGGTACCTGGGACTTCCCAATGAAATGCAGAAGAAGCCGGTCAGTGCCATCAGCATTAGTGGCGACGCACACAGTGATTCTTTCCTTGCTCTGCTTCTTGCCCTTCTCCGCTTTATCCACAGTCAAATTTCCTTTGGGTTCTCTACGGTAGAAAAACGAGGTTTCATCCATATTGTAGACGTCTCGCGGATGATACTTGGTTACGACCGCTTGCACCTCTTTCAAACCTTCGTCTATCACTTGCATATCCAGCGAGCCACCCTCACCATGCCGTAGCGAAAATCATAATCCAGTTCGCTGTTTGAAGGGGTACAGCCACCCACGGCTAGGTTTCATGCCGCTGGGCAACTGCACCCCTTCACGCAAGGCTATGCTGATCACGGTAGCACCCGTGATCGTAGCATTTTCATGCCATGCCTTGTAGGCTTGGATCTTCTGAATGAGCAGCTCATCAACACTCTGCTGTGAGGAGGAGCAGAGCCGCTTGCGGAGAGAGTGCGTGCCTGGAATGAATGTATAGTCGCGCTTGCGCTTGAGACTGCCGTGGAGAGTGGTGCGCTTGACGGGGACTTGAAACTTTTGCGTTGCCCATTTTGCGAGCTCAGTTACTGTCCACCATGGCTCAGCAGCAGCTTTGCCGCATATCGTCTGCTTGTCAGCGAGACTTGGGGTCGCCCTAAACCAAAAAGTGCCATGTCATGGCACGAAATCAAGTGTTTCGATTCGTCTGATATTTTTAGGGGTAGGTACAAGTGCCACGGGTGGCAAAAAGTAACTGCCATCAAACCAGTGTTGGCTGGTCGTTGGTTGTTGGTTTTTGGTGGTTTTTCATAAACCATGGCTCAACCTGGTCGAAACCCCAGCTCAACCAAAGACCACCTGGTTGTGAACTGGTGGGCAAGTCGTGCTGATCGTGCTATTGTGATGACAAAAGGAGTGTACGTACTAAGAAAATCTACCGGATTCAGACATTTTGCGGCTTGAAGTGCTGCGTGCAGGCTGCACTGCTGTCCTCTACGCTTCTTTCAGTTTCCAAAGCGTCTTCTCTCTTTAAACGTACAAACGGTGTGTGGCTAGCGAAGTCCTTGGCTCGCATGGGGCATCCTGCAAGTAATGAGCGGCTGGAGTTCATCGACGTGAGGTCGACTGCGGAAACGGCCTACCTGGCACGTTTGTAAGCATTGCAACCGAGCCTATAAAGATTCAAGACAACCAAATGGCACCTACAACACCCCGGAACCGAAGCGAGTTAAGGGTAGGGTCGAGAACTTCAAGAGCCATTTGAAAAGGTGCCAAGCGTTCATTTCCTACGTTCGAGCTAACAGAATTACCGTGACACCTTCGAATCCGGCCAACGTTGGTAACTATGATGATACCAGCGGCTTTATGGCCCAGCGACTGCCATCGGATGGTGTTGATACTCAGTAGCAACCAACAGCAAAACGGCAACGAAGAATTGGCGAAATTTACGCTGGAATTTCGGAAGACGATGAGACTAAAGTTTTGGAGCGCTTAATTCTCGAGTTTTAAGCCGACACCAATCTCCCCGATAGCTTTCTTGAGCGCTCGTCAATTGCTCGCCTTCTTCATTATGCCAATACTATGACAGGGAGCATTGATTCACTTCGTCGACGCAAGACACTGGGTGGCCCAATTCTCGATAAATATGCTTTGGCTTGTGAAAACCTCGAGAGTTCTACCTTGAAACAAACGCAAGATAAAACGGGTGGACGAGTAAACTCCCTCTCGGATGTATGACAGAATATCGCACTAGCACATTTACTCGGCTATCAGCTAGCGTTGTTTGGCTTCATACTAGTCGATGGTCTCTTTGCTACCGGTTCTCGCCATGATGGTGTGGCGATTGCTGAGCAAATGAAGGGACTGATGGTTGACATGCAGAAGAAAGGCTGGAAAATTGGAGCTATGGTCACCGATAATGTGGGGTCAGTGCGGCCGGGCGCGACGGATTTTGAGCCTCAGGTGGCCTACTATCGCTGTTGTCATCTGTTTTGCACATGACCTGAATACCTTGGTTCAATCTGTACTCAAGTCGGACTACGTGGAAGTTACTAAGCTGTCAACGCCCTAAATGCTTCGTCGGCCAAGTGGCTAGTGGAACCCAATATGTGTATGGAAGAAACGTACGGGTACAAACTGAACGTGAAGCAGCTATGTGAAACACGATGGAACAGCATGCATGGCTGCTTTGCATCGCTTCTACGAATTCGCAGTGCTCTGGAGTTATTGGAGGTGAAGTTTAGAGTTTCCGCTGATTTTCCCGCTACGTTACGGGGTTTTGCTGATGAAAATTTTTGGAACTCTCTTGAAGAAGTCGTGTGCCCTCTCTCCTACGCGTCCCTGAAACTACAGCGTGATGAAAATACCATGGCCGATGTTGTCGTGTGCTATCTCGATATCTTTGCTGGATTTCACAAGCATCCGTACGGTAGCAGGAATCTTATTCGCGAAGTGTAGAAACGATGGCTTCAATGTGAGCAACCGCTAATGCTGTTAGCTCTCTTTTTACATCCTGCTCACAGACAAGCTGCTAAAAGGCTCCTCGGCAAGACACCGCTGACTTCAGCTGGCTCTTTGTGCGGCGTGGGGTCTACTACTTCAAGCGGTTTGGAATTGGTTCGGACACGTCGAGGTTGTGTGAAGATCTACACAACTGGATCATCGATGACGACGTCACATCGCTTTCATTCACCGACTTCAGTTAAATTCACGTCTATTGGAACTGTATGCGATCGGAAATGCCGAAAAGCAAGTTGGTGGCTCTTGCGCTCGCTTTGTTGTCTATCGCTGTTAATACGGCTGCTTGCGAGCGTTATTTTAGCGAATTGGTTTTGATCCATACTGCGAAGAGGAACAGGATGTCGCCTGAGAAGGCAAGGAAACTGGCTTTGGTTCGTAAGCAAGTGCGAGAATTTGATGCTGAAGTCGGTCCCTCCAAGGGCGCCAACACTACGCGATTGATTGATCCTACAGAGCGCACCCGGCTAAGAGACAGAGACGATGTTTTTGAGTGCAATGAAACCGAAGACGGCATCGAAGAAGAATGCGTTGTCGGGCCAGACACTGCATTTGAGTACTGGCAGTCCGTACTCTGCGAGTTGGAGGGCGACGACGATGCACCAGTTTCTCTTGGTAACGCGCCAGATAACACGAGCTCTCCCCAATCTGCCGCTGCTGCCGCCGCTGCTGAAGAGAGACGCTTTGGCGCAGTTCTGGAAAAAAATTAAATCTCAATCTTCAGAGCCGATCCCTGAGGCAGATCGACGTGCATTCCCGAAGCACAATGACAGACTATTTCCACAGGGAAAAACGTTTCCAGGGCTGCGAGGTCAAAAGGTTACTTTGGCAGAGCTGTCAAAGACATCGAATCCAGCAGCAACGCAACAAGGTATGTTAATCTAGCCATCAAAGTTATTATCTAGCAGGCACTGACCTTGTCCCTTTGTATAGTTTGGCACTTTGTGAGCCCACAGCCATTTCGACGTCAGCACTAACATCGCCTTTGATCATCTTGTTTGAGTAACTGTACTTGAAGGCGGTGCACAACTCACAATGCTAGTCGCAAGTAGATCGAAGCAGTATCTTGTGTGACCGCTTGCACCGGCAATTTCGCCACGACCAGGCTGCTGGAAGGCGCTTCATTTATTAGCTACACGTTTTCTTTTTCATCATCCAAAATTTAGTTATATTCGTCATCTCGGCTGGTTTTAACCCATTTAAAGCGATGTTTTATTCTGTATAATACGGAATAAGAGATTATCTTGATTTAACTATGTATCCAGCCCTCACACATTTAATCTGTTGCAAGCCGTTCGCCATGGGATGGCACGAAAACGCTGCGGCCAAGTGCATAAGGATTGCATTTTGCTGCATAGTCCGCACAATAAACCCACCAGTTGCTCAAATACCAGCTACTCATTGGACCATTATGATGTGACTTTTATCACATTTCCTCTAGCTACTCGTATCCCGTTGAATCCGATAGACTTGGCTGAGCGACGCCAGAATGACTGGCGAAGCGCGCCATGGCGCCACGCGTACGCTCACCAAATTTTCGGCCAGTTCTAGACTAGCAAGAGTAGAAGAAGAACTAGGCTTGAACTGGCCGAAAAATTTGGTGAGCGTACGTGCTATTTATCTGCCTAGCTACTCATTGTCCTCGCTGTCCCCATGCTCTTCGCTGTCCTCGCTCTCATCGCTGTCCTCGCTGTTATCACTGTCGTCGCTGTCGCTGGAAACCTCGAAGTGCTTGCGTTTGCGGAAGCGAATGCGCTTACGGAGATGGGGTTGAATCGCGGTGCCGTTGCGCCACGATTGGTGCCAGATTTGGCCGCACGTGAGCGTGTTGCCTGTCTCCTCCCGTCGAACCTTGTTGCACAGGGGCACGTAGCCGCCGAAATTCGTGGTGCAGAGCTCGCAATAGTAGCTGGATTCGAAGCTCTTTGTCTTTGGCGTGGACAAGGCCGAGCAAACCTTGCACAAGTGCTGGCGACGCTTGCCCTTGCGTTTGCCCTTGTGCTTCCTCTTGCGCTTGCTTTTGCTTGCCGTTGGACTGCTCTTCTTGCGTTTTTTGCCTTCGTACTTCGCTTTGCTGTTGCGGGGGAATTGGTTCGCAGATGAGATCTTCGGCGTTGGCGTTTGCACTCAGCGTAGCAGCATTCGTAGCCAGAAGTTCCGTGTGCAATCGGCGCATGTACTGCGCGTGCGTTGGCAGCGGCAGACCTTTTCTCTGGAGTATAATCTTATGTAAAATAAATCCATTCACCACTGCCATGTCCACAAAGGCCATGAAAAGCTGGCGATAGTATTTTTTGAAGGCAACGGTAAGCTGAATGGAGTAGCGCTGGAGGCGGAGCTGATCATGTCGATCGACTCCGTCCATGCCTTCGTGATAGTCTGCCACCAGCCTCGGGCATGGAACCACCGCACGCACAGACTCCCCTTTCGATCTTCGCTGGACAGTCGTTCGGACCGTTGAACATCCCGTAGCAAGTAGGGACACAGGCTTGCTGTCCATCCAACTCACTGCAACAAGCGCTGGGTGGTCACGGGCATGCGCAATTCGGTACAAGCCTCGGGGCATTTTCTTCGGCCGCTTCTTCAGTGTAAACTCGAACCTCTTGGGCCACCCAAGCCGCTCATTGCGGTGCATCCCGACATAATAAAGGTCTTTATCCAGCAACTCCAGCAGCATGGCACACGACGTATAGAAGTTGTCGGCGATGATTAGTCGCTTGTGGTCCTGGCCTTCGAGTGCTTTGGTCACGTTTCTGATAACGGCTTTCTGGGCAACACCCTTCGAGTTCTCGGCAGCGCCGAGGTACACTTCCATCCTAAAAGGCGACAAAATACAGCATACGGTTAGGCACAAATTCCTTATTATGTATAGTTCAGACTAAGCAAATACAGAATACAAGAATACTGCTTACCGAGTACAATATCCTGTCGCCGCGCAGCATGTCATATACATCTTGGTTCCGTACTTGTGTGGCTTGTCTTTATTGTACACTCGCACTGGATTGTACTTGCTTCGGTTTGGTATGGTATGGTTCCTTCATCGAAACTGATGCGTGGACCCAGTCGGTAACCACGACGAAACGTCTTCTCAAGCACCTGAAGAATGGGTCGCACTTTCCAGGCCTTGTCTGTTGCTGCAGCTGAAGGGTCATTCTTTACAAAGTGTAGATAGCGTGTAATCAGTCGAAAGCGATCGCGGTTCATATATCTCGAGAAGGTGCCACGGGGTAACGCGCCATCTTCCTGTGTAGACCAGTGCTTATCCAGGCCGTCAGTATGGCCGCAGAGTGCACGAGCAATAAGAAGCCCAACCACGTGGAGAATTTCGTGCGCTTGGATGGGCTTCACCTTGCGCAGCCTTTCCTCGAAGTCCTCGATGGGGCGGACCGATTGGCTGGGGTCTCTTGATTGAGCTTCCAACAGCTTGTCACGTTGCTTCTTGGCGACGATGGGAATGCACTCCTCACGGTATGCGTTCGACTCCTCCGCGATTGTAAACCACATCTTCTTGGGAAGAAAATAGAAGAATATCCCCAATGGAGACTCAGAAAAGGCAGCAGCCGATCTTGTGGGACCCCAGCTACCAGCGTACAGCTCTTCTGCGTCAAGTGCCAGCTCACCTATAATCCGTTCAATACAGAATTAGTCGTACGGCGACGCGTTATTCTGTATATGCCGTATTTACCTGAATGGTTCTCGTCGTATTTGTTCCACCCTGTATCCGATAGTGCACGCATGTCGGCGTTGTTCTGCAGGAAGTTGTCAGAGTCATCCTCGAAGTCACTGTCCGACTCCATCTCGCTCTCGTATGCCCCGTCATTCTCCACAGGAAGATCCAACTCTTCTTCAGTTCCGCGGTCGCTATCACCATCAAACCTACCACCGTCATCAAGATTGATGTCGTCAGGGTCAATTCCATAGAGCTGTTCTTCACGCAATGCATCCATGAAGCTGTCGCAGTCAAATTCATCGATCCCGTTCCAACCACCAACATCACTCATCGGTTGGTCGCTGTCAATGTCCGCACTCGTCGGGTCGTCGTATTCTGTATCCACCGGATCGGGATCTTGTATGGAGCCACCTTGCTCTGTATCATCCGCGACAGAGCCGCCACTCGGGCGGACTTGTTCTGTATCCTGTGCTGCGGAGGCAACCCTGTGTTCTGCGTCTGGTGCGGAAACCTGGCGCTCTAAATCGGCTCCGTTATCTGCAGGAGGACCTGGTTCTTCCTGCCTGGCTGCAGCGTACGCTGCCTGCTTCCCAATGGGAGGTTTCCTGGAACTTATTATTAAACCTTCCTCATGGGGAAGAGGGAGTAAGCCTTCTCGCTCCGCATACCGCCACAATGCGTTTGGGCCTACGAAGCAAAAGGTTAGTTCGCTGTAGATCGCATTGCGTAGCGCAACGTACCAATAAAGTAGTCGACGTCAGCCTTGTAGTTCTTCAGTTTCCCCTTGACCCCAGGCTTCACATACACGTGGACTGAGTGAAGACCAAAAGGAGGCCTCGGCCGCCACCCAGCCTTGGTCAACGACCTCCAGAGGCGCTTGAATTCCTTGCTGTCGATCCAGTCCGGCATCTTCAGATTGAGTGGCGAGGGGGCGACTAGAACGGGGGATGGCAGTCGCTGAAAACTGGCTTCCGTTAGGATTTTTCAAACCTGTCGGTGATTTATATTGGATTTTCTACCCCCTTTGGATAATACCTTTTTATCTCCCCCTCACCGATCGGTTATGATAAAATCTCCCACTCTCCCCTTTACAAAACTTAGTATGCGGTGTAGTAGCCGCTTACTTTGCTGCGCGGAAGCTTTGGACATATTAAAACCTGTCATACCCTTTATTACGTATTATACAGAATACCGCTTTAAAAGGGTTAATGCCACAAGTAGCGCGTTTAAAACAAGGTCTTCTCAGTGTTACCATTTACCCCCCCCCCCCTCATCTCGATCTCACTGGCGTCCTTAATAGACGGATTCCCACAGCTTTTGGCCGTCCAGTTTTCGGGGATAGATCACCTCGTCCAGATCGCGTATGAACACCACGTGCATCCCTTTCTCATACAGCTTGTCTTTCACGACCATGACGAACATCGGCGTGTAACTGGACGGGATCGCCGCCTTGACGACCCTGCTCTTCCTGCGAGCTGAGACCTTGTCTCTAGTCGTGAAGGCACCCGTGGAGTTTACCACTTGTTGTACCTGCTCCTTACTCCACATACCTATAGTTTCCGCCATTTTTACCGTCGTAGGGGTTACCTCGCCCTCACCCTGAATCTGGCCAACGTTCTGAGTTGCGTCCTGCACCGTCGTTAAGTCACTGGACGCTGCACCGTCGCACTGCTCAGCGACGCCTGAGCCAACGTTCTGCGTCCAGTAGTGCTGCTACGAGCCCTTCTCGTTGAACACGTACACAGAGCCACACATGGTGTAATCGCCCATAGCGTTTTCCATGTGCTCAGGTGAGTAGGTCCACGCCACCATCACGACGTTCACGTCCACCTGGCCGGCAGCAGCGGTGAGTTTCTCGATCATTGCAAAGATGTCCGAGCTCCGCAGATAGCACTGAGCGCTCATGGCGTCCGACTTGAAGTCGTTCAGCGCATTCTGCATCTCCAGCTCGCAAGAAAAGAACACTACCTTATCAGAGTACAGCGCGAACTGGGGTTACAACTTCGAGACTACCAACCGCGAGATGAAGGACGAGGACGGTGAGCTCCACAACATTATGCTTTTTGTTGCTGAATGCTATCCGAACCGCTACCCGATGTGGGCCACGGGTTGGTTCTCGGGTGGAGGCTGCGGCGTTGAGACCGATCCGGATGCTGGCTCTTCACCCCACTGATGGTCGGCGTATCGGACCGTAGCGACTGGTACGCTAGCAGCAATTATTCCGACAAGAACGGCAAGAACGTCCTCATCGGTTGGATGCTGTCGGTACCGCGTGAGGTCGGAGTTGTCATCGTTCGTGACATCTACGGCGTCGAACAGCACGTGGTTGGCAAGGGCGACTGGATCGTGTCCGACTCGAAGGACGTTTCCTGTCCAATAGAGCTAGATCATCAAGACGCTCAGCGTGAAGCCGCGGAGCAACCTGCAGCTGCTCCGCAACGAGAACTCGCTTGAGCATGTGGCCAGCGTGTCGGTCAACGGTTTGTCGCAGGTTCTGAACTCGACGGGCGCTTCGTTCGAACTGATCGCTGAGGTGGCGGACTTCGAGCGTGGCAGCAAGGTGGGTTTCGAGGTGCGCCGCAGCTCTACCGGCGACGAAGTAGCTACGATCGTGTACGACGACGCGCAGAAGAAGATGATCATTGACCGATCGAAGAGTTTGACTGCTGACTGCACTGTTTTCGCTGATAACGGCGTGAAACCAATCTCGGAGTCGATTTTGGGCCACTTCTACCTGTACGACCTGTTTAACGGCGCTTCTTAGAGCGACGTGTGCGTGGCCACCAGTGAGAAGTTGGGCTTCCACGTGTTCGTGGACGTGTTGAGGGTCGAGGTATTCGTGAACAACCGCTTCTAGCTGTCGGCTCGTATCTACCCATGCGCGTCGCAGTCCAAGTCGGACGGCATTGCCCTGACGGCTTCAGGTGATTCCATGTTCCGCGCAGGATGGCCTGGATCCCGGGGTCCGCCATGCCGCGACTCGCAAGCGCCTCGTTGGTTTCTCCGCTTGAATCTTGTACAAGACTTTCCGCAGGCATTCTCGGTGGTTTGGGCCCAGCGCCAGCCCCTTCTCATAGCTCACGCGGGCATTTAGGAACTCCTTCATGAAGCACTGGATGGTGCCCATGCACAACGCCTTGACGTGAGCTCGATGGCCTTCTTGCTGTCCTTCTTGGCCTCGTAGAAGAACGTCAACTTCAAGAGGCGGCAGCGCCGTGATTGATGTTTGCGGCCACATTCTCGGTCACGGCGCTCCAGTCGTAGCTGCCCTGTGTGATGCACTCCGAAATGGTCGAACCGTCCGATCCGTCGTGGCCATGCAGTTCTTGGTGGCCCTATCATCCGATGGGCGCTGGGCGGTGGCGTGCAGCTTCTTGTTGGGACACAAAGCTGGCAGACCTTTGATGGCGCGCTGCTATCATGGCCGAGGCGTAGTTTTCGTAGGCCGCGTACGTCTCGAAGTTGATGGCGCTGGTGGTGCCGCCGGCGCCCGCCGAGGTTCACGCAGAGAGTTTTACAATATCGTCAAATTTCGTATCTTGGACCCAAGAATCTTGAATCCCGAAAGATGACATCATGACTCTGTTCTCGAAGTGTTTCCCCTCTTTCTCGTGCTAATCGTGGTGCTGCCCGTCGACAGACGTCGGAAGAGTCTTCCCCGACAGCGCTTAGAGCATCTCCAACGGTAGTGCAAAATGCGCAATATTGCACAAATATTACGCAATTACAAAAACTCGATTCCCAACAAGATAGTGATAGGCAATCAAAAGTAGCTATAAAGTAACCGCACCGGATAGCGTGCGCACTATGAGAGACATGAAGTGAATAGAGGGCGTCTATTCACTACAAGTCACTTCAAAAATAATCGTTTCTGTGAAACACACCGCCGCCTCGAACGTCCGCTGAAGCTCACTACAGCGCGTAATTATGCCGAACGCCGAGCCGTGGACCCCAGCAGAAGATGTAGCTCTGTGCAAGGCGTACACGAACATCTCTGAGGACGGCGCCACAAGCACGGACCAGCGCTCCTCTCTCTTCTGGGACCGCATACACGACACGTATACTGGGCTGGTACCAGCAGGTACACCTGCAAGGAAGGCAGGAGCTCTACAAAGTCGATGGTCTGGGCTAATTCGCCCGGACGTATCTCTCTTTGCTTCATGTTTGGCTGTGGTACAATACGATATGGCTTGCATACAAATTTTGTGTGGTCTGATACGACAATGTTACATTACAATATTTAAAAGGTGAAAGCTGAAGAACACAGCGGCTGGACAGATATGGAGCACATTGACGAAGCTCTGCTGCGCTTTACGGCTAAGAGAGAACAGCTGAACGCCAATGCCACGCACGAATACGAAGAAGAATTAAGAGCAGGAGCTACAAAAGGGAAGCGAAAGCCCCGCGTGAGACCGGAGCTATTCCGCCTGCACCACTGCTACGAGGTTCTTCGACAGAGTGTCCGCTTCATGCGTGATGTTCCTCGGCCACGTAAAAGGCCCCGGCTCCCAGTCACCCACCAGCTCAATAATGGTAAGAAATATGTTTTAATTGTTTTTTTTAGTTATTGTTTAAGTATCAATACTCTGTTCATTTGGTACTATTGTTTTAGATGACGGAAGCGATAACTCCGAGAGTGATGGTCGTGCGAGCTCCGTTGAAATAGGAAATGCGTCTGGAACTGAAGGGTCCCAATCCACAGCATCTAGCGCTCAACTGTTGAGGCCTGCGTCAGCAGGTAAGAAAAAAGCGAAACAACTCGAGCTCGAAGGACAGGTGGATAAGGCAATTATGCACTCTCAACGCGAGTTAGCCAACGCAACGTCTGCTCAGGTATCAATCATGAAGGAACAGCTCGAAGTAGCAAAACAAAAAGTGGAACTCATGGCGAATCAACAACAAGCACTGCGAGATCAAGCTGAGATGTCTATCATGTGTACATCTACAGAGGGCCTTTCTGATTTCGGGAAAGAATATCTTTTACTAAAACAGATATTGGATGAAATGAAGAAGAGAACACAGACCAGCTAAAGAAACAATACTGGTCATTCATGTAGATGCGCATTAATCAAAAGCTAACTAACCCGACATGCTCAACTAAATCTGCTTTTAACTTGAAGTGCATTGCCGAATTCATCACGAGCTTGTATTTATCAGCGAATGTTCGTGGTAGTTCATCAGTCGATAGTATTGATTCGTGTTGAAACTTATGGCGACCATAACCAGCTCGCGAAGCCGTGTATGCATACACGGATTGTGGGACTTTCTGGCCCGTGACTTCATCATCACTAATTATCATGTTGTGAAGAATTATGCAACAGCGCATAATTTTAATAAGTTTTTCAACAGTCCAAACTTGAGCTGGCCTTGCCACAATTGCAAATCGAGACTGTAACACGCCGAACGCTCGTTCTACATCTTTACGAAGCGCTTCTTGACAGGCTGCAAATTTCTTCTGCTTATCGTTTATAGGAGCTGTAATACTTTTCACGAAGCACTTCCATTCGGGATAAATCCCGTCAGCCAGATAATAGAAAAAATCATATTTCGTGCCATTTACGTCATACGAAAAACGCGGTGCGTTGTCATCTACGTATTCTGCTATTAGCGGAGAAGCATCCAGTACGTTAAGATCGTTATTGCTTCCAGGCATACCGATGAAAGCGTGCCAAATATGTAAATCAGCCGTGGCAACAGCTTCCAATACAACGGTGGCCTTCTTTGATGCGCCTTGAAATGCCCCGCACCACGAACTTGGACAGTTTTTCCATCGCCACTTCATGCAGTCAATAGAGCCGATCATACCAGGAAATCCGCGCAATGCATTTACCTCCAACATTTTAGTTAAGTCCTCTCTACTAGGGAGTCTCAAGTGGTAGGGTCCATAAATTGCAATTACAGCCGATGTAAATTTTTCTAACGCTTCAAGAACTGTAGATTCTCCAATCCATAGTGTTTCATCGAGAGAATCTGCCGAACAACCGTAGGCTAGCATCCGCAGCGCAGCTGTGACCTTGAGTGCCGGGTGAACTCCGTACTTCCCAGTACAATCTTTTCTCCATGTAAAATATGGATCATGCCGCCCTACTGCATCCAGAATAGTAAGAAACAAAGTTTTACTCATGCGGAAGCGCCGTCGAAACTGATCTTCTGTGTACATGGGCTTTTCGGCAAAATACATCTTTTGAAAGCGCTCAAACGCAGCGACGTGATCTCGCTGGATGTTTGGGCTTCTGCCTGGCCTAGACCCTCCGTGCTTTTTCTTTCGGGACCTTCGCCGACGAACAAATCTCAAAGAACTTGTAGCTAACAACGCGTTTGTACTAGCCATATTCATCGTCGATGGTACTCGGTTAAGACGGCGTCAGGGAATGCTCTACTTTGTAAGAGAATAGTCACAGCTATTAATACATTCATGTAATACAACCGTTGGGGATGCTGCATGTATTGCACGGTAAATGGCGGTTTTATGCAAGGCGACTATCTCTTCACTTCGTTTAATCACTTTTGCACTATGCACTACCGCTGGAGATGCTCTTAGACTGGAAGAGACACGCTCAGCTTTTGGTTGACGAAGGCCAGTTCCGGAAGTGTCACAGGATGTCCTACGCATCTTTCATGACTCTTGCTGCAAATTAGAGCCATACCTTTCAGTTGACAAGAAGCAGTCGCGTAACAGATCTGGGACTGAGCCCATCACTCACATCAACAAGATTCAAATGCGCCTGCGGTGGCTTAGCGGAGGATCGTATCACATATTCGGACGAACAGTGGTGTTAGTGTTGGAGCATTTTACGCTTCAATTCATCAAGTGGTGGATGCATTAATAGCTCACCCAGATCTCAAACTACAGTTTCCTACAACGCTACCTCAACAGCGCCATACAGCAAGGGCATTCAAGCAGTTAAGTGGTTCACAAGTGATGAAGGGATGCGTCGGTGCGGTCGACGGGTGGCTCTGCCCTATTAGAGTTCCGAGAAAGAAGGATGTAGCGAGGGTCAGCTCGTTTTTCTCTGGACATTACCAGCGATACGGAGTAAACGCACAGGTCTGTTGTGACCATTTTCGCTTTACGGCTGGAACGTGCTCCAGTGCTGGAGGAACTGGAGATGCTGTCGCGTTTTTAAAGTGGAGCCTTTCAACAGTGGTGAATGATTTACCGGATGGCCTCTATGTTGTTGGCGATTCCAGAAACCAACTATCTCTACTGCAGCTCGTGATAGCTACAATTTTCATCTGAGCCACCTGCGTATCCGTATTGAGATGGCCTTCGGACTATTGGTTTGTAAGTGGCGCGTTTTCAAGGCACCACTGGAAATCGGATTCAAGCGAGTAGCTCCTACTATCTTAGCTGGCTGTATACATAATTGGTGTATCAATCAGCACCTCTGTGAAAATGGAGGCTACCGAGTTGAAGAAGACGACGATTTAATGGAAGGGATAATCAGAATTGAAGAATCCGGGTTGCAGCAGGACGCACCGCCAGACTTTAGCGTGGCTCCCCAAAATGCATCACCATATCGACAGTTGTATCAGTCGTCGGACTTGAATGCCGATACAGACACCTACAACAGCTCTGGATGGGTACGCGAGGCGCTCGTAGGACTGGTTGAACACGACATGGTTAATCGTCCACAACGTAACAGAGCTAGGCGAGAGAGAGAGAAGAACTTGCATTTTAGTAGTGTACCAACCTTCAATAAGATAGGTTGGTATCAAAGTTTACTCTTAAAACTACTACGTTGATGGACGTGCGAGAAAGAACTATGCAAAGATTTGTGAACTTCGCAAAGAACGTTAGTCCATAGCATCCTGCTGATCCTCGCAGCGCTGCAAACGTTTTTGGTACTTCAGAAGACTGGCGGCTAGCGAAATGTCATTTTCTCCAGCTAACTCAGCCTTGCGCTGGTTCTGCTTAACCTGCTCGATTAGTTGGTGAAATTTTGCAATACGATCAATGAGCTGGTCTTCATCTTTGTTTTCCGTCTGCGTAACGCTGGCTGAGGAGGCAGCAGCAGAGGTGGGTGGTCCAACCTTTAAGTTAGCCATCCGATTGGTAGTCTTGAGTACTTGGTCTTGCCATTTTGCAGGCTTGTTAGTTGGCGCAGCCTTTCGAGAGGCAGAAATCTCCAATGAGTCGATTTCATCCTCTGGATACATACCACCGTTTACAAAGTCTGTCAGTTTCGGTTTGATGCGAGTGCAAATTTTGAGGTAGACAGCATCTAAATTGCCATCACAAAAGTCGTAGGACTCGTTCGAGTTCTGACCAGAAACATAGAACTTAGCGTTCGCCTTCACGAATTTCCACATGTCGTAGAGCCTCGCATCGTTGTGTGGCACGATGACGAGGGTCAATGCCCGTAAAGCGCGGGCTTTCATCAGCTTCTTGGAATAGGTTGTTGTAGTCTGTCTTGTTCTCACGAAACTCGACCCCAAAATCTTTCCAAAGCACGGTCTTCGCGTTCACCTTACCAGCATCAAGCTGGTCGCGTGTAACAGTGTCATCAGAACGGGCAAGACCCTCGGCAAAATGATCTGAGAAGATAATGTTCAGGAGTCGAACGAAACAGTGCTTAGTCTTCCGTAGACTGGGGTCAAACCGAATTTCTCCATCCACTGTGCCCTGAACCGCACGCTTTGCAGCATCATACGCCCGTAGACGGCAAATCTGGTCTTGCTTGCTGGTCGTTCTGACCAGCCGAAGTTTCCGCTGTGTGCACTCTTTTCGTAGCTGCACAAACGTCCATGACTCATAGTCATTACACGTCGGCGGGGTTACTTTTCCTGGCTGTTTCACAGTCCAGTTTGTCACTTGTCCGCTCTTCATGCTTAGAGAAGCAGATCCACCAACGGAAACGCCAGCACTGCGTGCTCCTGAATATCGTTCTCCGAGCCGCTGCTGCTAGCATCGTCGATTGTTTCAAGAAGTTCGGCATTCGAACGAGCGCTGAAGATGCTGCCTCCGCCCAGTAGTTGTCGATTTCCGATGTATGGGACCGAGGAAAGGTAACTGGGCGCCAAGGTTGACGGCGGTGCCATTAAGACGTCTACAAATGAGGTTGTTGGAATCCAGATTCATATCTAGGACCAGAGTCAACGTGAAGTACGAGA